GCACCCAGAAAAGAGGTTTGAAGTGAATACAATGTTACATAAACATCTGCCATCTTCCAACACTGACCTTGCAACTCCCACCTTTGCAAATCCTGTCTTCCTCCTACATTTCACCTGGATGCTTTTGTTGTAGGGTGGACTCATGCCTTTTGGGGTTGGCAAATGCTTAAAATGTCCTGTGCTGCTAAGGTCCACTTCAGCTGGCTCCTTGACCTGAGGATTTTGCCAGACCAGGGATTCTCAGGATTCCCCAAACCAGGGATCCCATGTTGGACTCTCTAGAATTCTCTTTAGTCCTTTTTTTTTTTGCTATGGTTGGAGCAGAGGTTCTGGGTTTGCTGTCCTGCCACTTTGAACTCATAGTACAACCTCTGCTAACACAATCCTCTTCATGAAAATTCACCTAGCTCTTAACCTGTTTTGAAATTGAGAGATTATGAGACAGAGAGAGAGAGAGAGAGAGAGAGAGAGAGAGAGAGAGAGAGAGAGAGAGAGATTATCACTGGGAAGCTCCTACTGAAATTTCGTATCTAATTTTCCTTTCAAAGCTTCTCATTCTAGGTCTTTCTAAAGAGTCCTCAGCACTTCTTTTTTATGATGGTGTGATCTGGTGATCTTCTTAATACCTCAGTCCTCTCAAGACCACTGTCGTTGCTTTTTGTGACTCAGAGGCAGTAAGAACTGAAATTGTTTGCTTTCCACTTTGTGATTCTTCTCTGTATTTTTTTAATGTCTGATTGAGGTGCAACGCACAGGACCCTCAGGATGTTATGAATGGTGTGTCCACAGGAGACATTTTTCAAGTACATTTTTGGGTTGATCTTATACCCAAAGTCCATAAAAAATGAATAAGAGAATTAGGATGAGTATCATGATTACTACAAACTGTGTATCCCATTAATCACTAGTGGACTATGACATGGAAACAGGCAATCTTCTGGAAGATGACCTTTATATATCCTTTGTAAGATGTGAAATGCCTCAAGCTATTACTTTACCTATAAACATTCCAGTGGTCCTTGTAAAAATACTAGACTTTTCGGGATACGCTGGCTTGAAAAGTGACTCCACTACCAAGGGATACCACAATTAGTAAAAGAGCATCTATCATACTGCTAAGAGTATCAAGTTCTCAAGGCCCTAATAGTAAATCAATTAGGGATGCTGTGATTGGAAAAAAGATGTCTTGTATAATCCTGCCAAAAAGCTATGTTCTTCGTGGTCCAAAACTGCACTTCTGATTTTATGACACATTATATAGTTAATTCATGTGTTTATTGCCAGTCTCTTCCACTGAAGTACAGGCTCCATGATAGTAGAGACGTTTATTTTGTTCTATGTTGTATGGTCCCCTGCCTGACACAATCCATACAAGGTTTCCGTAAGAATAAAAGTTCATGAGCAAAGTCCTGGCTGAACAAGAACACTTCCCAAGATGTATGTAGGTTTTCCACATACATCTTCCACAAGCTGGGTAGGTTTTCCCAGGAAGTAACAACTTCCCAGGAGCTCCAATTGGGACTGACTTCTAGCCTGGGAAATTTTATGGGATTACTCATGGGAGGAGTTTGGTCACTAAGATAACTGTGAACTCACTACTTTTGTCTCAGGTCATGCAAAGAAGCCCTCTTTGTATCTTTCCAATTCACCAGGTCCTCTGAGGGAGCTGGATTTGTGAATTATCAAGGTAAACCTCCATCTACCCACCTGCCAATTCTAGATGATATTAATACAATTTCAAAACATCTGCACTCCCTTGTCCCCCATGCCACAGGGCCCCCAGGGTATTTTCAGTCCTGGGGTTCTAAATGTGAGCCTTTGTCAAAGAATTTTCAATGAACGTATTTCAGACAATCATACTGTAAACACAGAAGGTGACAACTACTTGACTGGGAGGTGAGGAGTAAGGAGTAAGAGATAACACTGGGCCTCTCCACTTGGGGATTTTGAAGACACTGAAAGGAAAACTGTATTGCCGCACAATAAGGCCCACCCTTCTCAATAGGAAGGTGCCCAAAGTGGTGCATTAAAGGTGCCCTGGGTAAATTTCTTATAATTAATTGTAATTTCATATAATTATCTAGCATGTAGGTATAGCAGCACCCACTGAGAAAACTGGCTGAGTGACTTTTCTAGCTCTAAAAGGCAGAGGTCTTACCTGAATCTCTTTGTTCATCTAAAGCTCTTATGCAGCCTTCTGCTTTGGTGAGCTGTGCATCACCCGAATGCGGCTCCACTTCCACAGAACTTACTGGCTGCTCAATAGCAGGGAGAAAGTCTACCACGCGTCTGGCCCCACTCAGCTATGGACCGCACCTCCCAAGCCAGCTCCAGGGCTTCCCACATGCTACCAGGGAGCCTCACAGCACTGTAGCACAGCGCAGTAAAATCCCAAGGTAGTAAGGCCGGTGAGATAGCTCAGCGGACTAAGCGTCTGCTTAGGCAAATGCAGGGGCTGGTTGGATGCCTGGCACCACACGTGGCACCAGCCCTGCCCCAGGCGTGCTGAGTGGGTGAAACAGTCCAGGCTTGGGGGCGCACGCCTGTAATCCCAGTGCTGGGGAGGCTAAAACCAGGAGGATCGCTAGGAGTTTGAGCTGTGTCGTGAGAGCCTGCACAAAACAAATCCCCGAGTTAGCCATGGTGACACTAGCTACACGTTCTTGGACAGGCTCCTCAGTAGGAAACCTTGGCACAATAGACTCTCCCTCTCCCCTGCGCAATGATGTCTTGTGAAACAGCTAACAGGCAGTGGAGAGCAGTAGCTTGGGGCCTGGGAAAAAAGCAGTTCAACAGAGAACCATGAATAAGTAAGCTCTTAAAGTCAAGTGGAAATGAGAAGTGGAAAAGCAAGTGAAAGCACTGTGGAGCACTAGGACAACCCGAGTTGTTGGCTACTGTTGAGCTTAGTTTCAGGAAGGGGAGATTTGCCCAGCAGCTGCATTCCAGCTCCTTTCTTGCAGAGAAGAAGGGAGAGACCACAGAATCTTGGGAAGAGCAGGTAATGAAACAGGAATGCTTTGTGAAAGTAATTTTTCGGTCTCAAATAGCTGACAGCAGCCCCTACTATCATGTGTGAAAGCTTTTATTTGCTGCACAAGAAAGACTGGGAGTAGACGGTAGAGTCTGGGTCAATCTTTCCTTAAGAGAAATATACTGCACATTAGAAAGCTGATGGAAAATGGGTTTAAGGGTTTGTGACTTTTTTTTTTTTCATTTACAATTTTTAGAACCATAATTCAGCACTACTGGATTAGGCCATGTTCTATCAGATTGAAAATCAAAAGCTTTTCTATGAGGGAAGTGTCTGTTAAAACTGAAAGAGGTGACGGTCACATTACCGCCATCAAAAATAATAATAAATAATAATTATAATAAAAATAATTTATTAACACTGTTTTTCCTATTCCAGCGCATCCTGTGTTCACTGCTATTTTCTCTGAGCACCATCCGGCTCCTCACCTGTGAATAAAATGGACACTGTTGAAAACTTCGTCTTCGGGGAGAACATTACAGGGAGAGGGAACACGGCCTCTCCATCTGCCCTCGGGTGTCGGAGTTGAGGAGGTGGACTGGGAGCCTGCCTTGGCCAACCCCTCATTCTTGTAACTTACAAATAAGAACATCTCTCTGGCTTCTACTTTACACTACGAGATTCGGGTGGAGTTGGCAAGCAAGGTTCTGCACCATCAGCACATCCCGTGCTGCTCCTGGCTCCACGGTGGTCCTTTCTTTCTGCACATCCTGGTCTCATCCCCCGGGCAGGTGCAGCGCACTGCCCTGGCGAGCTGCCTCCCTCCCAGCCCAAGGAAGAAATCCGCCACCAAATGAGAGGCCAACTCGAAACCTTTTTGCATTTTACCTCGTTGGAGCACCTGCCCTGGGACGTGTGTACCTGGGCGTTCATCTACATTTAAGACCATCTTTGTTTTTTCGGTGAATTTTTTCACGGTCCGGAGTGATGCAGCAGGTCTGAATTCGCTGTGGCCTCTCCACCGCCCGCTTCTCTCTGGAACTCCGGGAAGGCGGCCCCTACCGGAGCGCGCCCCCGCCGAGCCCCTGCCTCTCCCGCCAGGCTCGTCGTCTCTCCTGCGCGCTCCGAGGACCCTGCTCAGGCTGGTTGGGGGCGCTCTCCGCCGCACCCCGCTGCCGCGACTCCGCACAGCAAACCCGCGCCCGCCAGCCCCGCACGGCCCTGCGCGCGCCCGGAGCCTCCCGGGCACGGGGACCGGACCGCC